AAAAATAAAAAATAAAAATAAAAAAATAAATATGTGCAGAATCACATGATGAATAGATAGATAGGCAGGCGGTCTACATGTATTAACCCTAATCCTCATAAGAATCCTCAAGGGAAGAACTATGTTTATCCCTCACAAAACAGATAAGGACCCCAAAGCTAGGAGAAGCTAAAGCCCCACAACCCTGTCTCTAGCTCCGAGGTTTTCGTGCTTCTTACTACAGTGGGGGGCCTACAAGCTTCAGGCCACGTGTTCTCACAAAGGATTGCTTTCTTACTATGTATTTATTACTTCACAAAAAGCTCACTATTACATGACCTCTTTTACTTTGAGTTCTATGGTTAACAAGTAGTTTCTATCAAGAAGAACCTCTGCCATAGATTTAGCTCAGTGGTTCCCTGCCTGCCTCGAAAGGGCAAGGTCCTGAGTTCGATCCCCAGCACCACAAAAAAAAGAAGAAGAACCTAACTACTAAATCAGACCCACATGTGGCTGCACTGGCCAGGGAATGAGATGGTTTCATTCCCCCACAGGCACAGCCAGGCCTGAGGGGAGGAAGTCTGGACCCAGCCCTCAGAGAGGCACAGGCACAGCAATCACAGCCCTCACTACCCTCTTGGGTCCTCTTTGATTACATTCTTTCCCACACCCCATGGGGCCACAGCACAGCCCGGGGGCAGGAAGGGGCCCATCCATACCCATCCTGGGATAGCAGCATCAAAGGGCTCCTCCCCCACCACAAATACAACCCAGGGGACAGGGTCCCTTCCTTAGTTCCAGGCTGCCATTTCCTGCCCCATCAGACTAGCAGCAACCCCTCCTGGCCTCCTGTGTGCATCAGGCACAAGTTAAAGTTGGGGCACCACAGGCCCGGAACTTCTGGGACTCCATATGACATTCGGCATGTTGCAGGGCCAACAGCTATGTAGGATGCACCACCTCCTCTGAAATGAACACCATAGAACAAGCCACCCTCTTTCCACTCTCACTGCCACACTCGTTCTGCCTGCTGCATGCCCATGTCCATCTCTAACTTAGTCTCCATCTCTATCCCCACCTCCAAGCGTCCCATTTCACCTTTTTCCTTTATTATTCTTTCTTCATCCCTTCAGGACAGACACTCTACCGACCTCTGTCTCCAGGGTGTCACTACATTAAGCACATAGCTTTGGAGACCTAGGCCAGTAGGACATATTTCCTTATGGAACAGTGAACCTCTGAGCCCATGTTGGACTTTTGCCTCAGTTTCCTTTTAGGAGAATCAGTGGATCAACATTTGCCAACTTCCTGACTCAAGGTAGCACCTGTGGTTCTGACCTGTGCCTGGCAGTCTATAGAATGTGTGCTCCATGCCTGGGCTCAGCATGATCACTTGATAAAGCACTGGATGTTCGTGAAGTAGAAATTACAGATGGGGGAGGTGACGGCAAGGGACGTGGAAATGACTCATTCAGGGATACATACCTCTGGGTGACTAGCTAGGAGCAGAAACAAGTCTTCTGATCCTCTCTTTTCAGAGACGTCTTCTGAACCTCTTTCCAGGACATTTGACACTTTGAGATCATGACCTTGACTGTATAATACACACTGCTTGGAGGGAGCTGAAGATGAGCACCGCATCTGCCAACAGACCCTGAAGAACATCAGGGAAAATGAGACCAGAGAACCCTCAGAAAACCCTTATTTTTCATTCTTGGTCTCCATGCGATCTAATTATACTGATGGGTTCATTCATGTCAGATTAATTTTGTTGCATGTTTTCATATGATAAAAAACACACCACCCATGGAGTGTGGGCCAAGGAGATGTGTCTACAGAGATAAAGACCTAGCTGAAAGGCTTGCTCTGGACTTGCCTGAAGTATGCGCAGACTTGCAGGCAGGCTCTCATGTCATCCACACAACCCTTCAGGACAGGCAGGTTTAATTCCATTTCATCAACCACAAGACAGAGATTCAGAGAAGTTAGTCAACTTACCAGCCATCATTTGCCTGGTGACCTGCCAGGCGGGATTCAAACTGAGGCAGCTCAGTCTCCATACCACTCTCCTTCCCACTGACTCCCTACAGAGATATAAAGGGCTTATTCTCCACCCAGCTCCCTCTGTAGTAAACCACCTCCTAGCTTGTGTATGCAGGAACCAAATCCCTGCCCCTTGACACCAACCTGCACAGTGCGCGGCAGGACGTTATAGAGCTTCTCTATGGAGGGGCAAGTCTCCCCCATGGGGGAACAGCCAGACTGGAGAGGCCCCCAAGCCAGGGACAGCTCTGCTCAGAAGGCTGGCAGACTTGCTCAGGGACCAGTGGCCCCAGGCCTGGCCCAGGAGCATGTGCTCTCCCATGTCCCAAAGGGCTGTCCTCCAGCTGGTTGTGCAATCTTACTATGAATAGGTCTTGGTGTGTGGTTTGGGGCCAAAGAGCACAGACTTGTTTCATTTGGGGTGACAGCTTCCCTCTGGAATTCTGGGAGGTGAGGGAGCCCAGCTGTGGGGTCAGGATGCTGACCCAAAGGCAGGGCGGTCCAAGCTGGTGGCGTGAGGGGAGGAGCCTGTGGCCCAGACTGGACGGACAGGTTGGCAGCATGACTCTTCAGAGGGCAGAAATCACCTGAGTGCTCAGAGCTCCTTCTCCTTCCTGGCCATCATCAGGTCACCCAGACTCCACCTCCTAAAGCTCCTGCTACCTCCACCCTCATCTTTGCCTCCTTGTCCAGGTTTGCCTTGGCTATCAACTTAAAGTTTGGAAGGGAAGAAGGAAACAGAGACATGCAATTCACTTTAAAAATATTAAAAATATGAGGCTGTGAGGAAAATGGGATTCTCACATATTGTGTTGGTGGTATGAACTGGTAACACTGGAGGGCAGTTTGGTCAACCTCTGTCCAAATTATGATTATCTCTATCCTTTGACCCAGCAAATCTGTTTGGGTATTAATCCTACAAAGATTCTTGCACATGGATGTATTAATGTATGTATAAGGTTATTTGTTGCAGTGGGGTGGTAACAACAAATGCTTGGAAACAATCCAATGTCCAGTGTTATCAATAGAGGCCTCCTGGTTTAATCAATCATGATGCATTCGTATAATGGAATTCTATGTAACTATAGGAAAGAATGAGCAAGCTTTTACGTACTACTGTATCTCTTCCATGTGTGAGAAAGTCATTCAAAAAGCAAAATGGCCAATAGTGTGTTATAATGTACTTCTTGTATAATAAAAAGGGAGCAATAAGAATATTTTAATTACTCAAAGGTATGTAAGAAATTTAGACAGGACACAAAACATCCTTTGAGGTGAGAAGAACTACGTAATAGGGTTCAAGGATGGGAGGAACACATTTCTTATATTCTTTTATTTTCTGGCATATAAATCATGTGGATGCATTCTTTTGCAAATATTAATTTAAAGTTACAGTACAACAAAATGAAGATTTGGACCAAAAAAAATCCATATCCCAATTCCCCTCATACAATGAACATGTGTCTTTTGAGCCATGTTCTAGAATGAGCACCCCCTTTTTACATGGGGAGGGGTGGCTCCTCAGGGGCATCTTGGTGGAAGGGGGTGTGCTCCTCCCCTGCTGGAGAAGGTCCTGGATTCTGGTCCCTGCTCCTGCCAGCTGGGACTCAATTGGCACATGGCTCAGATGTTCCCTGATTTCAATGGCAACAGCAAGGGCTTAAGTCTTGTGGTAAGATTCACAGTATCCAAAACACAAGAATTATTTCTATTTTTATATTTTACTTTTAATACTTCTCCCCAATTATAGTTTTTCACTCATACATGCTACTTGTAATCGGCATTTTATTTTTCTTGCATCAATCTGTAAGATCGATGAATAATTACATTTTTTGTTTGTTTTGGTACCAGGGAAGGAACTCAGGACCTTGCACTTGCAAAGCAGGTGGTGGAACCACTGAGCTAAATCCCCAGCCCAATAATTACATTTCTAAGCACCCGATATAAGCATTTCCTATGTACTTGAATAGTCTTCATAATTATTATGTTAATGGATGCATAATACTCCTTTATTCAGATTAGGTACTCCTTTTTTTTTTTTTTTGGTACTGGGGATCAAACTTGGGTCCTTGCGCTTGCAAGGCAGGCAGTGGAACCACTGAGCTAAATCCCCAGCCCAGATTAGGTACTGCTTATACTATGATATTCAAGAAATTAACAGGGAGAGGATAAGGAAACCTAAGGTTGTGGAGACACAGAGTTGCAATGATACTGTTCATTTATCAGTCAGATTCCTTTTAAACAGCATAGTTACCTTATTATCTCCACATCTATTTCCCAATATCCTTCTCCCACCTATTCCTTATTCCCTCCAGTCTCAGAAGAGGAGGCATCAAAGCCAGTCCTCCTCCACTGTTCCAAAGCTATATTTATCCTTATAAAAGTAATACATTCCCACTTTGCTAAGTTAAAATAGTACACAAGGTGAAGAGTTGAAAGCCAAACTCTCTCTCCTGCCTCCCCTAGACTTACCCACTACCACGCTTCTCCTGACTTCTAGTTCATAGCATTTCACCTTGATTGGAAAGTCATGGAGATGGGAGCTGCTGACTGCTCAGCCCTTGGGGCTGCCCGTAGGGCCTGTGGCTGTGGGTGACCAGAGTAGGTCACCGGAGACCTGAGGCAACTTTCTTGGCCTTTCCAGTGGGCCATTATAAACATCTCATTTTCTGTGGATGGCCATTGTTCAGAGTTCTAGATTTACCATGGCTTCTCATTTCCTTGACATCTTTCCTAGGATCCACCTCTCAGTACCACAGGGGTCTTTCTTTTAAAGGCAAACTCAGCTCTAATCAGGTCACCACCTTGCTGGTTTCCCACACCTTACCAAAAAGTCCAAGCTCCTTGGTCTGGAAATATTCTGGCAGCCTACTTTTCTTGCCTGACTCCTCTTCTATCTTATTTGAGGTCTTTAAGTCCTGAACAGGTCCCCTACTCACTGTTTCCTGAGGACGTCCTAGTTTTCCCTAACTCCTGCCTTTGTCTTGAGAGTTAGCACTTCAGCTAGAAAGCCTGATCTATTTCGCCCTTTCAACTCAAACACCAACTTTCTTTGCTGTCCCAGCTCTACATCTCTCTCCGTGACTTACCCTCAGCAGCACACATGGGTTGTGTTCATCTAGGAGTGTACCAGTGGGCCTGCATACCTCAGCTTGGCCCCTTTAGCCATTTTGCCCTGACAAGCAGCCTGGCAAATGGTAGGTGTTGTGGGTGAATGGATGGAGGCTCACAGAAGAAACCTGGTACGAACCTCAGAAAGGCATTGTGATTTCTCTTCACAAGCACGAGTGGGGATTTTTGTAGTGTGTTTCTACCAAGTTCTCAGAGAAGGGAGGCAAAATCTAACCATTCTGAACCATTATCATTAGGCAGAACCACACACATGTGCAATCTAATTTCCCTCAGGTCTTAACAATTGCTGCTAGTCTTCCTCTTTCAACTTTCAAATGAGGGAAAATCCTGGGGAAAGGACCCTCCTTCCTTCAGCTTCACTTACATGGTCCTGTGAGCCAGACCACTGCTCTCTGTGGTGATGGCCAGAGCTGGAGTGGGTCCCCTTTCTGCATGACTCCCTCTTCACACACCTTCAATGTACTTCCCGCCCATCCCACCACCAGGCCAAGCTGAGTCACCCACAGCACCAGCGTGCTCCCTGCCCTACCTTAGCCATCTCTCTGCTTTTCTATCTCAGGGGAGTGGCTATGTGTGTAGGTGTCTGGAAGACAGTGGCCAGGACCCCCACCTTCCTCCAACTGTAGTCTTTGCACTAAAACCATGGTATGGGTGACTTGGCTGACATGTGTCAGAGAAAATTTTGTTCTACTAGATCATCTGCAAAACCGAATTCCTCAAGTGTTTTAGAGACTAGTTCAATTTTCCTTTTAACATTGATGCTGAAGCTGGGACAGTCAGCCAGGTCACTTGTGAAGGCAGAGCAGGTAGATTACACTAGAGAGCATAACCTTGTGGAGGGCAGGCTCCAGGTCCATGGTTTCCTTGGTGCTGTGACAGGGTCTGGCCACCGTCACACTTGAGGCTGACCTAGTAATTGTTGATCATTAAATTAATTAGTTTTTGGTTGCATTTTTACCTGGTTTGGGGGTCAGTTTTCTACTGAGAATCTTGGGACAACTGAAATTAGCTTTTCATCTTTAATCTGTTAAGAGATTACTGCTTTTTGAGAGATTATTACTTTTTGAAATGCAACTGCAAGTGAAATACCCTTTCCAGATGATACTAGTATTTGAAGATGGTGAGGTTTTACCTTTGTAATAATTAAAACGGTAAAGAAAAACTGATGAAAGCAAGACTCTATCAATATGGAACTTACCCCAAAGGGCCGACTTAAACTTTCTCACTTCCTTGGTCTAAAGAAAGAGCCTGTCATGTTGCTTGGGGCCTTTAAACCAGATTTGGGGAGGGGGGATTCTGTAAGTTCAATAATTTTTATGTCTATTAAAGAAAGAAACATAGTCCAGGCTACTAAGAATTGTTTTACAATAGGGTGGAGTTCACATTAACTGAGGAGGCCCTAAATGTATACCTAGAGGAAATATTTATGTGGTTGCCACCAGAAGCCTGAAACTGACTTTTGATGTGCAGGGTGGCTCTGTGGATGACTGATGTTCACATGCTGGGATCATGTGACAAGGACCTAACTCTGGTCAAACCAGTTGCAGGTTAAACCCCTGGTACTCATCGATGGCAGAGACTAATTCCTGAACCCCATACTTAAAAGCTCCTCTGGGAGCACATGACTCAGTATACATGAGTGGCTATCAGCCAACATGGACAACTCCATAAACCTGCTTTTATTAAATTATCTGGTTGTCTGTGGAGGTCAAAAGTGGACCAGAGAAAAAGTTTAGTAGGTTCACTTCACTTAGAGATCTCATGACAGCCTCTCAGCTCTGTGCCTCTCCCAGGCTGTGAAGTAATCCCACAGAAAGCCCTTGAGATAAACTATTTCATTCCTAGGGTTAAAGAAAGGGGTGGAGAGGTCAAAAAAAACTTCTTAGAGTAAGACACGAGTGTCATTGATGCTTTATTTACATGCGTCACCATCTCTTTTACAAACTAGATTACTGTTTTAAATGGAATACACAAGGCAGTATCTACAAACACCAAGGAAAGTAAGTACTGTATCTTCATTTCATTTGGAAAGGGGAAGATTCCCAAATCAAACTGGTTTTGATCCTCAAGAAGAAAGGCAGCAGAGTTAATTCATGTCAACATATGATTAGACAAAATCCAAGGTAAGAATGCAATATGATAGTGTTCGCTTCAAAAGAAAGGATGAGGTGCTTCAAACCAAAGGGTGAACTGCTGGATTCTTAGGTGTTTGAATATGGCCATGCACCATATTTAATTCTAGTTTGTATGGGTTGTGAGCAAGAAATTGAAACAGATAAGACAGTTTTACAGCTACTGTATACAGATTTTTTTCATTCATGCAACTTTTTTCCTTAAAAAAAAAGTTAAAACATGTGAAGCCAAAATGCACAATACAATTTTTTTTAGAACTCACTAATTTTTCTGGTCCTTTTTCACATCTGTTTACATTTCCCATGGATATCATGTGCTAGGTCAAGTACACAAGAGAAGACTGATTGCCAGACAATGAGATAATTTTAGAGAAATAAGTGACAAGACACACAGTTGTTTTTTGTTTTTTGGGGTTTTTTTTGGTACCAGGGATTGAACTCAGGACCTTGAGCTTGCGAGGCAGGCATCGGAACCACTGAGCTAAATCCCTGGCCCAACACAGTTTTTTAAAAGCAGTTGCACAACTATTTCTGGAGTGTGGTAGAGGCCTCATAATCATTCTTCAAAGGGACATACATACAAATAAAAACAAGAGGAAAATGTTCAACCTGCATAAAATGTTACCTACTTAAGATTTATATCAAACGAGACACTCTCTTTAGCTGCCTGGGCTTCTGCTTTCAGATCTTGTTTGACAGGCATGATTCTACAAGAACTTATTCTCCTCTTGTACCCTGCCTCCACAAGGCTCCAGGAGGGGCTGGCTTTTTTGTACTTCTTTACTAGTGATTGCATTTCTACAAAAAGTTTTGTTTCTCTTAATTAAGAAAACATTATACTGAATCATATGATGTTATCCAAATACATCAAGAAAAAGAAAAATCAGAGTTCAGAGCCGTCAAGGGTTTTCTTTTTTAATACTCACATTTCCCCTCATCAGCCCTTGGCACCAGCAAGTGGATCACAATATTTGTTTTTTTTAAACTACTTTACTCTTGATGGATTCTTCTAAGAGGTTCAAATGTTCCTTATTCTTTAAGTGGATCATATATTCATTACCTAGAGGCAAAGTCTGTCCTTACAGTCCTTAAACTGTACAGGTTTGGAAGCCACCTGAAGTCACACCCTGAGATGGGGCATACCTGTCCTGAGTAGTGAGCCACAATATCCTCTCCTCAGGGCGAGGAAGTAACACACAGATACTAAACATCAACACCAAAAACAAAGTCCACCTTGTACTACATGTGTGTGCATGATTCTCTCATTATCAGGAGAGTCAGACTTTTGAAAACGACTTTTAAAGTGTACTTCAGCATTCATTATGTTGCAGAGGCTGGAATAAAGGAAACCAGATGCATTCACAGTTAATGGAGTACACTGAACCCAGTGGCCACTCCTTACACCAGGACAGTGAAGGCTTGTGATAAAGCTCTTTTCTAGCTTTGGTACAAATATCAGGCTCTGGAGACTGAAGAGAGTCATGGGGCCCCAGGAGTGCATGCATCACATTTTCAACAGTAGGTCTCCCCTTCCTAACTTCCATTACCAATCAGGTAGCTAGCTCCCTGGGGCAGCTTGCCAAGAGGCTGAGGGGCAGCTCCCAGCGTTCTTATCACGACTCAAACACTACCACTGATGGCTGGAGGCTGCTAAGTAATCCACTGAGATGCTCCAGATCAGAACATTTATTACTAGGGACACAAGACACTCAGGGGGCAACCTACTAGTCACCAGTAGACCTATCCAGAAAGCAGGGTGCCAAATTAAGGAAGAGGCCTCAGGCTGCACTTCTGCCCAGTCAGCTACCTTAGAACTTGGCTTGTCTAGGTGAAGCTGGCCTCTCTAGTGGACAGCTAGAGCAAGAGTGCAGGGATTCCAGACAGGCCTTGCTATCTGATTCCTGACTGACCTTCTCCTAGGCCTGGTAGGTCTCACCATACGATACTGCACTTGATGTGGCCCTGGTCTCCGATCTCCAGAACACTGTACGTGTAGATGCTGTTTGAATTATTTAAAAAAGAAAAAAACCCCCAAAGCATCCCCCTTTCATTTTCTCAATCCATTCTGTGGTTGCCCTCTCCTCATACCACTGTTTCTCCTTCAGCTGTTTCAGATTAAATTATAACACGATTCTAGGACATTTTGTAAGACATTGTTCCTGAAATCCAGTAAACACTGGAAAAAAAGAAAATAAAGGAGATGTCACGTTTCTGAAAGGAAGTCAACATTTTAAAGCTGGAACACACTGGAAGGCTGCCTTTCTTGGTCCCAAAGCAGCTCTGGCCAGAGTCTATAAAACTGCATAGGCAAGTAACTAGTTTGTGAGTTAGTTTGCTTGTTTCTCTGAACTCAGGAGAGAACTCTCAGGGCCCTTACACTGGAAGCACTTTGGGATCCTCCCTGTCTCTGACATCTTTCCACACCCCTGATTCCTCTTCCCCCACACTGCCTCTTTGATACATCTCCACCCAGGCAGTGTCACTCAGGAAGCCAGAGAAGTAGTCCTCTTGTTGATTTGGGACAGTTCTTGAATACAGGAGACTACTGAAGAATCAAGAAAGCAGCTAGCATTATTATAAAGGAATATAGTAAGCAAGGCTAGCTCACTAACAAGCAGGCCACATGAATACATACTTTAAAAAAAATCATACATACTTTTAAAATGAAGATTATAAATGTGTAGCAGTTTAGAAAAAGTGATATGCTTTAGGTCTATAATAACCACAATTGCACAACAATTTACAGATTCAGTAAAAGGCAGGGTGAAATCAATAGGGCCTTGCTCAATCATGACAATCTAAGCGAGGCAGGAGAGACGTCTAACAATACCAGATGGAACTCTCATTATGGTAGGAGCTGTGATCACCACCAATATGACCCCCAAAGGAGTTATAAAGCAAAGGTGCACAAGGGGGGCCCTGGCAGCTGCTGCAGGGGATCAGGTGGCATGTCTGTGTTGGTGTCCACTGCCACAGTGAAAGCATCAGCAGGATCAAGCAGGGAAGTCTGTGCTGAAACACTAGCCTGTATTCTTAATGCCCATGCACAAGTTTCCATTTTTGTACTGTACATGATAAAATATACATTTATATGCCTAATACTTTTTATGCAAAGAAGAGTCTTCATATATCACTTTGGAGACATATGTATATGCTGTGCTAATTAGAGCGGCATTACACCACTTTTGTATGTACCAATGGCGTTCCCAACTATTCTGTCTACCAAAGAGGATAACAAATATAATCACACTTCCGAAGTTAAACAGAAAGCACCTATACAGCACCATAATGTTTTGAAAACAAAACAAAATGAAATCCACAGAAGCAGAAAGTTTAAAAAAAAAAAAAGGGAAAAATAAAAGGTTAAAACTGCCTTATCTTATACTTTCACTGTGTCACTTGTCCAATTATAACTTAGGCTTATATAAAAAAACCAGTTTGTATGCTATTGACTTTCACTCATGTACTTCTAGAAGACTAGATTATACACAGCAAGGCTGAAAATAATCAAGGATGTACATTTCAAAAACAGAAAAGTTAGATCTGCCTCAGCATTGCCTCAGTTTGTCCTTTTCACACGTCTCACTGCAAGCTTAACAGTCACTTCTAAGTTCTTTTGCAAAGCAAAACAGGACACTATATTTTCCTTTTTCCTCTCTCCTTAAAAAATAAATCCTTTAGTGGCATTTGGCAATTGAGTGGATGGCTGAGCTGATTTCTTTCCTGAAAAGATCCTAGTTTCTACCCGACAGGCCCACACTGTCCACCATCTTAGCAGAGGACCCTGCAGAAGGCCACAGCCCTGCTGACCTGGCCACTGCAGCACAGGCACCAGGGGCCTCATCCTCAGATGGTCCTGACTCAGAACTGGAAACACACTGGGCCGGACGCCATGCTCCACTCGTTTTGCCTATGTGTGGTTCAGTCCTGTACAGGTGCGCATTGGAAACAATTGTGCCATTGTTCAGTTTTTAGAAAAGATAACTTTCTACCAAACAAAAGAAAGAAAAGCCCCCTATAGTTTGTGTAATATGTTAGTTATGGAGTCCCATGGACTCAAAAGCTTGTGATGCCCACAGCCAGAATGGTAACGGGTACAACATTTTCCTTGTTTTTAAATTTGCCAGGCGAAGGATGATTAACATTTTAACAGAAAAATACTGCAAGTTAATGCGTGTGGAAAACTCAGAAGATCAAAAGAAAACAAACAGAAAAACAACATTTAAAACATCCCACAAACCACTGCGATATTAAAACACCATGGTGTGCTCTGAATGAGAGTGGGCGGTGCTGCTGGGGTGCTGTCCTCTGCTGGCAGGTGGCTCACCAACCCCGGACAAGGAAGATTTTGCATACTTTATAAAGTTCTGTTCCAAGGGTAAGTGCTTCACCCAGGGCGAGGGGCCGTTAACAGTCTCTGCTGGGTTAGGAAAATGGCGCGGGATTCACAAAGGTGTTAAGCTGTAAACGGTATCACTGTCCACTTGTTGAGAGCAGATTTGGCAAAGGGTTTTCTCTGTAGGTCTTGTGTCAGTTTGAGGGTCTGAGGAAGGAGAAAAGAAAACCAGAGATGATTAAGGGCTTCAAAAAGCACTCGGAGGCATGCTGCATTGGCCTCCTGTTCCTCATCCTACCTTTTTGGAGCTCAAGGCGTATGGAGTAAAAGGTGTTTTGCTACTGCATTTCAAAGGCCCCCAAATCTAAGGACAAAGTACAAGTATTACTTACCTTATTTCTTACTGTGTCATTACTACAGATGCTCTAAAGTTGAAAAGTCCAAAGAAATGGGATCATTCACTTCAGGAAGTTAACAAAGAAAGGCACATGGGGGTGTTAGTGGGTCTGGTTAAGATAGGGACCCAGGGTACAGATGGGGTCTGCTGGGATACAGGACTTTCGTGCTAAAATCAGGCAAAACAGCTCTTCTCTGGTTCTCCTCCACTGGCCAGGCAGACTAACTGAACTTTCTTGACACCCTGTTAGTACCTGGATACCAGGAGAGATGACATGGGCCTTTCCACAAAGGCTTAATAAGTCTGAACTGCAGGGTGTGAGTAATCTTGACTTCCCCACCATAAGAGAAACAAGGCTTCTCCAAGAAGGCTATCTTAGAATGTGATTTTTATATTAAAAATCTTTAGAGAAAAAAATTACACAACACACTCAGAGCCAAATCTCCCAAAACATCTTGTTAACAACTAACATTTATGTTGTCTTCATCAGTCTTCAAAGGAAAGGCACAGCAGATGGCCTCCCAGAGCATCAAATTTGGACAAGTCTTATCAGATTTCATGTGGCCACTGAACCCAGAAAAGTTAAGAGGATTAACAGAAAAAGTATTACTCAAGAGATGCAGCTAAAGGAACTGACAAGACAGGCCTCAAGATGTACGATCTTTTGTTTACAGTGTCAGCTGTCAAGGTAGGAAAAAAAATAGCTCTAGGCCAAGACATGGACAGAAAAGTGGCAGTAGAGCACCAAGAACACAAGATCTTCTCACCAAAGGGAACAGAATGAAAATTACATCAATAAACTATCTCTCACACTCACTCACATACACACACACGTGGTACATACATCTGCCTTTTGCCCCTCTAACACGAGTTCATTTGGAATTCCATAAGTGCCCTTGTGGCTTCAGTCTCATCTCTGACTACCCTTGCTGACAATCTTACCTTTCGCTACTGACATCTGCAAAAACAGCAGGACTCAGTATGTAGAACATCACAGACCCATGGGCCTGTTTTCCTTTGCTACAGCTCTGAAGAGAAGTGAGGCTGTTTTTACTGGTGGCAGAGACATTCAAGCAGGAAAAAATAAGGCCCTCTTCCCATTAGTTGTTAGTGTTTAGTTTCCCTGACTGGGCTTTTTGGGGGTATTCTCTGCTTTATGAAGTGACTAGACAATATTATCTTGGACCATAAAATAATGGCTTCTTAATTTCAGAGGGACAAAAAGCTCAAATAAATCCTAGATCTGTCTGTAAGGAATGTGGCCTGCTAGACCTGGTGCTATGATAAGTACTTCAGCGGGGCCCTGAAGCATTATTGGACAGGGGCTCCCAGACACAGTACTGTGAAGGGAATTCTTTTTTCCTTCACAATAACACTTAATAAATCACAATTTAACATCACTATGCAATTAGTCATTGGGGGCTATGGTCCCCAAGTGCCAGCCCTTACTTTCTGTAAGTATCAAGGGAAAAGCAGCAAGGTATTACCTAATTCAGACTGCCTCCCTGTTTCCCTTTGGTGTTAATTATCGTGCCACAGAAACCAGTGCTGAGTAGGAAAGTGACATACTTCATTCCCCCAAGTACAGACAGTAGAGCATGCAGTTTGCTCTGTGGCTGAGGCTGGACCTGCACAGCAGGGACAGAGTCAGAGGGCACCTAGGCACTCTGACATGGCATCATTCCAGGCAGGATAGACATCAGCCCTAAAATCCAGGGGTAGGGGGCTCACCCAGGGCAGCCTAACACAGCATCAACAACCCATTCCCTCAGCAAAAGGCCCAGAATCATCTGGCAGCATCATTAAGGAGATACATTAACATCACTCTTTCCCTTTCTGCAGAATGGAGTGGGCGATGTGATGCCACACCCTGAAGCTTCCTCCAAGGTCTCAGGCAATGCACTCCCAGGGAGGCCTGCACAGGAAGCCGCCTCTGAGCCCATGCCATGAACCAGTAGAGCCAGGCCAAGGTACAGAGGCAGTTCCTACAGAGGGCACATTTAATATGGAATCTCACTCCACACAACTGAAAGGGACTGGTGTTGGTGTTGGGGTGTGTGTGTGTGTGTGTGTGTGCTAGAAGGAAAACAGATGTAAAATACTATGAAAACAAAACACAATCAGATACAGTACATATTGAATAGGAATACAATCATCCCACTAAAAGGAACACTAGGACCACTACTCACAATAAAGACCAAATAATAAGAACAATCTTGTAGAAAGCAGCAACTCATCTGCCTTAGACCTCTGAAGGCTCTTCTGCAATTCAGTCTTCACGTGTTTATCTGACTCAGTTAAAGACACAGAGTGGAGCATGTTCAGTGAGAAAACCAACTACAGCGCTGGGAATTTGCTGATACTTAGTTTGGGTATGAGATCCATGGATTTTAAGGGAGCTCATGTCATTCTCACATGGGTTTAAGAATGGCTCTTTAGCTAACTGTGATGTTTGTGTGTGTGTTGATATCCTTCTAGTTTAAAAAACAGATTAAGCAAAACCTTTGGAAGGAAAAGGAAGAAGCTAGCTAACAGAATTACAGCTGTTACTCTACACTTACTAGGCAAAATACCAATTAACAATAAATATGAAAATGTCCCTGCCTCATCAGTGACTTTAGGATGATCCCTTCCCCTCTCCCTGCTCAATAAATAAGTTTGCAATAAGGCTGTAGATGGAAGGAAAATGAAACGGAGAAACTAAATGAATGATGAGACCCATTCTAAAAATATCTGTGGATGCTGTCATCCGGTCTCTGATGAGAGTCAGGCCCTCTGTAATACTGGCATCTGCAGGGAAGACAAGCTTTTGTCTAATTATCACCATTAAGTTACATGATGCTCTAAGGAAGGGAAACGCCTCCAAAACCACACCAAACATAACCACCCTAATCAACTTTAATCTGGAAATGGAATGTAACTGTCCCATTGCTGTCCCCCCCCAACTTAATTCCACTGTGAAAAATGTGCATTTGTCAGTTGGGTTTTTAATCTTCTTGGCAGAAAAAGAAGGAACAGGACCCCAGTACTAAATATGACATGGAAGGAAAAAGAGATGGTAGAATGAAACCCTCACATCCAGAAATCCACTAAGGTTATCAACCCTTTTCCAAGTTAGGACTAATTGCGTTTGAAGAAAAGTCTGCCTGAAAAATCAAAATGAAAGTGAAACGCCATTTTCTTTACTCTTTAGAAATAAGGACAATTTAGGGCTGGGGATTTAGCTCAGTGGCACCGTGCCTGCCTTGCAAGCGCAAGGTCCTGAGTTTGATCCCCAGTACGGGGGTGGGGTGGGGTGGGGTGGGGTGGGGGATAAGGACAATTTAAGCAAAACTTGCAACTTCTGGACCCAGCTGGGGACTAAATATGGAGGTTTCAGGGCAGAGAAGGAGCAGATCCCTCAGTCTGATGGGGCAGCCTCCTGTGGGGTGACAGAGGCCACGTGTGGCTTTCAGAGCTTGCATGTTTTCAGTCCAGTACAGACATGGCAGACACATCTGCCTGCCTGCCACCACCTCTGCTTCACTCCCAGGAAGACCAAGGGGATAGTAACCCATTATGAACCAGTCATCTGCCACCATCCTCAAGGGTTGGTGCCACCTGTCTTTTGCAGGTCTTGGGTTAGTTAGCCAAGTCCTATTTTGAAACTCCAAAGCAGTGGCAGCTCCCATAGAGTGCAGCTCCACAGCAGGCCTGATGCATTGCTCAGACAAACAGGCTAACACTTTGGCCTGGTCATCTTTCACTATCTTCTAGCTTGGAACTGATAATGAAAAGGAGTTGGTGACATTCATGAAAACCAGCTGGGTGGTCAGTAATGACATGGGCCTGGCTGATGCAAATCTAACCCTCAGCCTGCAAGAGGGGAGAACCTAGGACCTGCAGCTCTACAAAAATCCATTTTGGCAAATGCTGTCCACTTGCCATTCTAGGCACTAAATAGTTTATGAGGGAAAGAGAACAGGTAGGGACATTTCAGCCAGGCTGAAGGCCAGGTTTGTATTCAGTTGAGAAACCTCCGCAAAGGCAAGTCAAATTTCCAGGAAACCTGGCTCCCTGGCTCTGGTACTTTCTAACAGGCAAGTAAATACTTAATGTAGAAGGTGAGGGTGTATTAGGGAAGCCAGAATGAGAGACTTTTAGTGCAAAGGTGATGCTTGGAATGATACACAAAGGCACTCAATTATACCACACTAGTTAAAAAAAATTCTTTTTAGCAGCTTAGTGTAGGTAAAAAGTACAGGCTGACTTGTGGAAGTGCCATACTATGCTGCCTCCCAAGAATGCCTAGGGCTTTTCAGGGGAACAGAGAAAGCCTGCTTGAGAGGCTCATGAGAGTCCCCTCAAGAGCCTCTGTCTCCAGGGCACTTCAATGCCTAGGCCTAGTGTACACGGCCCTTCTGGCCAGCCAGCTTTTGTGTTGTGCTGACAAAACACGAGGGAAATGAGAAGGGACCTCATAGCCCTTCATGGCAGAGGGACAAGGAGCTATGCAGAGAGGCGCCGGCTCTTCTGTTGCTTAAACTCTAGGGATTACTGATGGCTGTATAAGTCTAACATGAATGGCCTATCTCTGCCTTTACATGGGCAGGAATTACATCAACCAACTTTCCTCACGGACTCAGAGACTGACATGGCAGAAATATGATAGGTATTGATTTGCTGTTGATAGAAGGTTGCAGAGATTCCACATTTTCTTGATTCTCAATTTTTTCAAACTATGAAGATATGTAAAGCTTGGGATTATATATTCTCCTAAAGAATCTTTTTTAAGGTAAAAAGTCCACAGGCCACTTGGATCCTCTCTAGT